TTTTGCTAGTAGATGAGCTTTTTGAAAGCGGACCCCCCCCCCCCCCACCCCCCATGCTGCATTTGGGTCCTGCCAGCTTCCTGTCATGGCACAATGTAATGCTACAACTCTTTTTAATCCACGTTTACCCCCCCCCTACCTGTGCATTGTTTCACATTTACGTCTAGACAGCTTACCATGTCGACTTCCGATATGCTGTCCAAGCTTTCCACCTGGACATCTACTCCGACAGGGACGGCAGGGCCTGTGGATTTACAGCAGTTAAATAGGTTAGAGCTGGGGTCTCAAACTCGAATAAGCAGAGTGACTTTGTTTGGGGGTCACATCAGTGTTTGATGATCACGACAAAAGCTCCCAGATATTTTGTTTGGCGTTTGGCCCAGAGGCAATGTCTCTGTCATTGGTGTGGAACCCCAGGGTGCACCCTACTGGGCAAGAGTAAAATCCTGGTTAGGGCGGTTGGTACCTTCCAGTGGACTCACCACCCACAGGAAGGTTCAGAGGGGGTTGGTACGGTGCAGTGTAATTTGGGTGGCAGTCATAGAGACTGCTGCCCTCGCGACCCGGTAACAAATAAGCAAATGAAAATGGATGGATAAATACTGTTCAAAGAGTTGGTAAAAAAAAATTTCCTCAGTCTGTTAACAACCAACAAAAATATTTTAATAATAGAAATTTATTAAAATAAAATATTGTTGGCACCAAGTCATGGGCCAGATGTGAGGTGTTTGCGGACTGAAAGTGGGCCCCTACGCCAGAGGTTTGGGGCCACTGGATTAGAACTTGTATTTCTGTCAACCAGGGCTTCAATAAATAAGTTTTGTAGATTAAAACAACATGGACAAACAGTATGGAGTGCTCTTCTTTTCAAAGATCCCGCGATCTTTATCACTCTATTGCTCCTGCTTCCCCTACTGTTCCATAAATCATCATAATGCTCTTTTTTTTTTTTTTCCCCCCACAATGTCCAAACCTCTCCTCTTGGGTCTTATTCTTTTTCTCTCTCCTGACAGCTCCATATTTAACCTCTCACACATCACTTCTTTAACAGCCACTCCATTCTACCTGCAATCTCTTCTGAGTTTCACATGGTCGACCGCAGTTATTCAAGCCCATTCACCTTTACTAACTGTAGATCAAATCTGATTCCCATACAGCCATCTATCATTCCTGACTTCTATATACACTGGTCCACTTCCTTTCATGTCTGCTTTCTATAGAATGACTTTTCTGCTTCTCAAAAAAAAAAAAAAAAAAAAGGCAGCTAGGAATAGCATAGTATTAAAATGCCAATAATCTGCCGTATTATTCAGAACCTCATCTTTGGTGACTTTTTTTTTTTTCTGTCAAGGTACAGTGATTGCCTGGTAAAAAGGTGAAGAGGCTCATAGACCTTAAAGCGTCCTTGTACGAGAACCTCCAAGTTCAAACAAGGCACTCGAATAAGAGACCTTCAAATTCTCGAGTTCTTTCTAAGTTCCGTTCCTGCGATTTTAACCCTGAGGCGGAAGCTCGCGACTCCAAGCAAGACCAGAAAGGAATGAGATGAAAACAACTCGAGATCCCTGTAAATAATTCTCTGTGAATGTTATCAAACGCCTCCCTTTCCATATTTTACGATCTTGCATGTAAATTATAGTCCCGGTCACGTGATCACATGCGTTTCTGCAGTCTGAAGCAAAGATGATATTTGAAACAAATTTTCGGATATTACTTGGTAAATGAAAGGTTTCGCCATCCTTCCCATCTAAAAACCGAAACTATGTCAATCTTCGGAGTATTAAAATCACTTAATCTGAGTAGTCAAAATATTTTTTTTTTTATTATTCTAAGCTGCAGTAATGGGTCTGCCCTTACATAAGTCGTAGCGGGAGCAAATCTGTTACCTAGAAGGGAACATTAATGTGCCCAGTCGTACGTAACTGTCAGCTGAGTACGTTCGACTCTCTATTTGTCTCTCTCTCACACCATATGTCATACATCACGTGCCAGACTTGGTAAATCCCTGAGCGCTTGCTGAGACATAGACAGTGGACACAGCAGTGCAGACACCTGCTGTACCAGAGCAGTGCTTTGTCCCTGCTCCCTCTGCGGCTCTGCGGCTACGCAGAATCTGTTATGCGCTGAACTGCACTGCAAGGACACAGCGGCCCGAAAAATAAACGTCTGCGTGGGTTCGGTAGCTTGAACTGTATTTTCTCTAAATCACAGCCCTGTGAGGCTTTTTTCTCTCTCTCTCTCTCTCTCTCTCTATTTTTTTCGCTCCCGTGGTAACAATGTTGGCTGCAGATAATGGCTGAAGAAAGGGAGTACGGAGACACTATCACTAACCCACCGTACTGCAATCTTAGAACTCCTGAATTGTGAACCTCACTACATTTCATTACGCAGCAATAACGTCAGATTGGAAGCTAGTATTTTTATCTTTTGATCTGCTCCAGAACTGAGATTGGACATAGAATTGGATATAAATATTTGAGATAAAGTCAAATACTGGAAGTTAGAGGCGGTGAAAAGCTCTTTTTTTAAAAAGACTAAATGTAGGTTTTTTGGTAAAGGTCCCCTCAGGCCTCTAGGGGGCGCTAGAGGGTCTCGTAAAGTTGGAGGGAAGAAAACACGTACAAAAAAAATCGAACTGCACAACACGTAAACTGCCCCCTAATCGTCGGATTCTCAAGTTTAACTGAACGCACTTTGTGAGACAGCTGCAAAATTCAGGACGTGAAGCTTTGCGTGTAGCTAGTGCAAAACAGACAGGTTTTTGACAAGAAATTTAAGGGACAAAGATGTCTGGTGGACATAGTCATGCAGCACATGTAATAAGTTACCCATAAATATGCGGAAGTGACACATGCGCTTCTTTCCAGAAAAAAAAAAAAAGGAAAACGTTCAAGATTTAGGGACTGTCTACTGGATTACAGCAAATCATCTCACGAAAGACGCTCAAATCATTTGAAGTGCAGTTAATGAAAGTGATCACTCACAAAAAAATATTTATCGTATTCTCCGGGCTATAAGTCGCTCCGGAGTATAAGTCGCACCGGTGCCCTCTAGCGGCTGTCTGTGTGAAAATAACAACCACGTATATTTTCAGTGGTACAGGAGTAGCAGATACTGGTACACAAGCCTAGAGTGCCCTCTAGTGGCTGTCACTGTGAAAATAACAAACATGTGAAATTATATATTTTAATATATGTCGCAACTGAGTATAAGTCGCAAACCCAGCCATAGGATGAAAAAAAAGTGTGCCATTTTTAGCCCATTTTGGAACACAGACTTGGTTTTTCAATCAATCCTGGTCATCCCCCACAATCCCTCTGGTTCCAAAAGCAGCTAATGTGTTTTGAGTTGCCAAGACAAGAATGTAAAGGATCTGCAAAACATCTTCCAAGGTTGCCGGGGGGAGGGGAGGGCTAGCTCTGATGTGCGAATTTTGGCAGCAGTAATAAAGCTCATTTATGCGTTCAGATTGGTGTAATCACGAAATGCCCTGAGATCTTTTCGGTGTTCTGAGCTTCGCTGAGTTATTCATTGTCAGCGATCGTCATGAGACCCACGAATCACGAATGCGCCGCCGAGACGCTCCGCTTCATAATTTCAGTTATTACACCTTGTTACTTCTCCAGTCGCCGTACGGTTGCGGGTTATTTTAATAAACCACGTGGGTCAGGCAGCGTTATTAGCCCCCCGGAAACCCAGGAAACGCCTCAGCGCTGTCGGTGCCAACGCCGCACAAAAGGGAGCGCGCAGGGTCAAAGGTCATTGCATGCCACAATCTTCATTAATGGAGCGGTGCAGCTGGAATCACAGGCGTATTTAACACTTAG